GGTAGATTTCCATCAAAATGGACCTGCCCCCTTAGCCTTGAAGGTCGCTCTGAGTGATCTCTCTAGGGAAGAGCCTTGGTTTGGGAAGATTGTCTTCACCCCAATAGGAGTCAGACATATCCTAACAGACTTAGGTTGGCCCGGAGAGTTCCCGCAACAATATGGAGCCTTGGCCAAAAGGTTCAGGACCTGAACCAGATCCCAGGATGGGACTAGTTTCCGGACTGTTGGCCTCTCATTGAACATTCCACGGAGTAGGTGAGTGATCGCCACATTAGAGGAAATGGATGAGCCATCAGTGGAGCCTTTGTGAACTACTGCTATGGCTGATCGATAATTTCGCACCGTTCCTACTAACAAATTGGCTCTTAACACAATGAGAGTAGAAATTCTGAACAATGGTTTAAAGAAGCACAGAGTGGATCCACAGCCTGTTTTTCGCACCACCTACTATAATGTCGTAGTCTACTGTCATAGATTCGTCGTGTTGAGAGACGACATCCCTTTGCGGATGACAGGGAACATGACGGGGAACATGGTGCTTGTGCGCTTGGGCAAGGCACTTTACTACTTTGCCTCTCTCCACCCAGGTGTAGTAAATGGGTACCTGGTAGGAAGAAATTCCTTCAATGCTGGAGCGCTGTGTTGGCAGCCGTGCTAAAGCCAGGGTAATAATAGAGCGCCAGGAGCGTCACTTCGTGACGGACATGAGCGCTATACAAGAAGCCACTATTATTATTATTATTATTATTATCAGTAAGCGCGCTTGACAGTGGCCAGCATGCTAGGTGGAGATCTCCCGGAGACGGGTGTCAGAACAGGGACTGAGGTTGAAGGAGTAGGTCGTGATGACCTGGGAGGATTAGAGGGGAGCTCACTAGAAGCCACACCAGTCGCGGAAACCAGGGCTAACGCGGCCAGAAGGGGGCGATCAGTAGAATCTTGCACCTGTCTCTCTCCAGTTTCCCGATGACCCTTGTAAGGATTGAGATCGCAGGGAAGGCGTAAGCGAACATGTTTGTCCAGTCTATTGATAGTGCATCCGAGGCCTATGCCTGAGGATGATCTCTGCTCTCAGGAAAGTGATTTCCTGGGACAGGTTAGTTGGGACTTCTTCTCGTTGATTATGAAGCCTAGCCTTGTCGTCAACATATAAGTGTCCCTCAAATTCTGAGTAGTCTTGCCTTTTGATTTTCCCAATATCAGCAAGTCGTCGAGATACATAAAAATCATTATGTTCTCGTGAGACGTGATGCAACTACCCGCACAACCCTGGTAAACACTCTTGGCGAGGTTGATAGCCCAAAGGGAAGGGCAGTGAACTCGTAAGTGCGCCCTGATACCGGAAACGTAGGAATCCGGAGTGCTCTTGGAAGATGGGAACATGTAGGTATGCATCTTTTAGGTCTAATGACGTTCCCCAGGCTGGTGTGGGTAACTATTCTTGAACTACAAGAAGAGTTTCCATTTGGAAATGCTTGGGTCTGACAAACTTGTTGAGCGGTTTCAGATTGATTATTGGCCGCCATTGGCCAGCCGCCTTCTTTGGCGTTTTTTTTAAAAGAAGGACAGGAAGCCTGTGAACTGCTCCATTGGTGGCACCAAGCGGACCGCTCTCTTCTCGATAAGGGATGATATCTCTTGTTCAAGAGCTAATCGTTTGTGTTTGTCAGAACCACTGTTTCGCGAACACATATTTCCGACAGAGGAGTGCTTGTGAATTCTAGTTGATAGCTGTGGCTGACTATAGAAAGCACCCATGGGTCGGAGGTGATCTCTCTCCAGGGCCCTACGAAATTTCTGAGACGACCCCCGATGGGCCCCAGTGTGGGGGTCGGCTCGGTGGGGGCGTCACCGCCGCCACCCTAGGCAGGGGCTGATGGCCCGCCGCCATGTCCCCGGCCGTTAGTTTATACATTCTGGTGCGCAGGGGCAGAGTAGGGGCATGGAGCTGAAACCACTGCACCAGCTGATGCCTTGCTTGATGGCTTAAATGCTTTCCTAAGGGCAGGGCGAAACGAGGGAGCACCTCTCCTTGCCTTCTTCCCAGAGAACTTGCGCTTGTTAGTAGCTGATGGCTTCTTCAAGCTCAGTTTGTCCACTGTTTTGATTCATTTGGGCTTCAACTTCCAGAATTTCCTGGAATTTGCCACCAAAAAGGTCTTTGCCCATAAGAGGAAGGTCTTGTAACTTCTTCTTAGCGCCTTCGTGTGGTATGTAAAGTGTCTCCATCATGTTAGTCCAACGTGATTTGGCGAACAAAATAGAGATTCTCGTCAACTGATCTGGAGAAAAACGGAGTATTTTGTCCAGACATCTGAAGGCTGCTAACATATCGGCTGGAATTTGTGAATCTTCCTCACATGCGCAGATGATATATTCACATAATAAAAGTAAAAAGGCGTACGTTTGTGAGCCAAATCTAGCTGCCTCATCGACTTTCTTCATTGTAACCTCCATCTTAGCTCTACCCTTATCAACAAATATTGACTTGGTCGGGGCTTTGCCGCTATCTCCAGTCAATTTGTCCATGGCCGTATCTGGAATAGCAGGAACCGTAAAGAAATCTTCTCGGTCCTCTTCTGGAAACTGGAAATAGGCTGCCGACCTTTTGTTGAAAGCAGTCCATTTCTTTGCATCGGTGATACGTTGGATGCAATCGGTGCATAAACGACCCACCGGCATAGCAGGGAAAGCTGGATCTCGAGGTTCCTCCACACCAGTCCGGCATTTGAAAGAACGACGGGTGGTCTCTGACTTACTGCTCTCTGGCAGTTGCAGTACCCGAACCATATCTCTTTGAACCAGCCTTGGCTGAGTCTCAAATGGTGAAGAATCACCAGGGTCAGTGGCCTCTTCATCCCCAGAACACACGTCTTGCGAGTGAGTGGAAAGGGGGTGAGCACTATCAACATCTATGTCAGGAACATCTTGAACAGAAGTGCCCAAATTTATAGATGGGTGTAAAGAAATTTCCACCTGCGATCTCACGGCCCGGAGTAGGTGGACTATCGGAGCTGACACTAATGGCAACCCGAGGATCCAGGGGCCCAATGTGTTCCCTTCTCATCCCGCCTGAATTCGGCAGGATTATGCCCTGATCCGGCTGAATTAAGCCCGGATCCGGCCGGATTAAACCCGGATCCAACCGGACTGATCCAGCAGGATTAGACCAGGATCTGGGTCCAGGAATGAGGCAGCATGGAGTGACCTCCCAGTCACCGCTGGGGCCGATCTCCACTGTTGTTGTGGGCTGCCAGCGAAAGATTGATGTCTTGAAAAGCTTTAAAAAGATTTCCGTGGATACACCTTTGTTTTTCTTTTGCCGATGCGTCGACTTACGGGGGGAATCCCCTGAAGAAGGTGGCACTGCCTTGTGTTTCCTTTTCTTACTTGGGTGACTTGATTCACTTTTCTGTGAAAACTCAAATAATATCCTCGGAATTCTGGAGCATTGATCAAAGAATGACGTTGACTGCGAGTCCGTGGCCCAAATTGGAGGAGGAGGCAAGTCAGTTACCGCGAGGTCCTGCCCATTCCGCACGGATGGAAGCAGGAAGCTCGGAGCACGATGAGCGCACAGACGGGGCCGGTGAGGATTGAATTCTTTTACCACTCTGTGACTGGACATCTGTGAAGGTTGATGGAGCCAGCAGACCGGGGGACGAGGCAAAGAAACTCCGGCGGTTCAACGCCGATGGTCTGGAGACCGGCGGCGTGATCGAGCGACTAGTGGTCCCTTTTTGGTTCTTAACCTAGGAACCACTGGTGGCCTTTGATGCGGTTAATAGCCTGGGGAACCGCGAAATGTCCTCTTCTAGCTTACTAGCTCCCCGAGCTAGCTGAGACGGTCAGGGGGGAAGGGAACGACCTCTGTCGATATACTCCCACTGTAAGCATCTTGCTAGGCCCTAGCTCACCGCAAGCTTAGGGGAAACGAAAGGAGAACAGGGAACGGTCGAAACCGCTGTACTCCTCGAAACGTTTCGCTAGTCCCCTGAACGGCCGAAAGTCTGACTTCCAGAACAGGGGCCCCACGTGTGGGGCGACTAGCAGACCTATTTTCATGAATAACCTCACTTCTCTCCGGGGATACGACGCACTGTCTCCCGTAAGGCCTTTACGGAAACAACGATGATGGAAAGGATTTGATAAATAACTCGGGAGACGTACCTGTCTCGAGGTGAGTTATGCTTAACGCCAGCTGGCTTGGGTCCCATCTATGGAGTCATAAAATAAATGCACTGCTTTTTTTTTTTTTTTAATTAATAATTATAAAATTATTATTTTTGACAAAAAATATTACTATTAGATAAAACAGAAGTAATAATGATAACTTAAGAAAGCCGACTCGGCTAAAAAGGGATTGCACTTGGTCCCAAAGGGGGAACCCATGATGCCTACCCGGCAGGTGCTGACCTGGCCCGCCGCACATGGTGCGAGACAAAGGCTGAAAAACCTGCTACGCCACGTGAAAGAAAAACGGAAGCAAAAGACTCCAAAATCACTCCAAATGAGAACTACTTTCTCAAAAACCAAACTCTACAGATTGTACACAACTCACTTGGTTGATAAATGCTATAAAACAGAAACTCTCAAAACGTAAATCGTACAAAAACCCGTCAAAGGCTTCTGTACGATGCCGTCGCTAAAAAAAAAAGAGGAAGTATAATGGCGATTCATGACGTATCATAATGGGTAGGCCCTGAGAGGGCACTCGTTGGTTGAGTGTTGTCTTTTAGTGTTTGAGCCTGTCAGCTGAATAAATATGCAAACGTAGTAGCTATTTGGGTAAGTGAATGAAGTATTGACTTCAAAGATTTCGTCTGCCATCATAAACATGTCTGTGTGCATGAAGTGTCATTCAAAATACATTTTTTTGGTAAAGGGTTATGTATGTATGTAACCTTTAGAAATTGCCTTTCGCAATCACACGGCTGTATGGATAAAATAATCTACTGAATGAGCAACAATGGGTTTTACTAACAAAATGCATGTACCTTTGTATGAACTGTAAACTTCACTTTTTCCTTCTCACTTAAAGCATCTGAAATGTCCACGACCAAAGATGTATCTAGGTTCAGATCAACGGTATCGGACCTACCCTGTAAAAACAAAAATGAAAATGAAAAGTTTTAATGTGTTAATGTTCATAAATACTAAAATTGTGAGAATAAATTATTTGGTATTGCTTTGCCTTACTTCCCTAGGGGGAATGCAAAATCGTATTTAAATTGGAGATTCAGGACTGTTAAGGCTACGAAAATTACATATTTCTAAATCTCAAGTCCCTGTGGCCGCTTTTTTTCATTATATTACTGCCATGCTCTTCAATTCAACTCACTGTTGTCATTAAGGTAAATACAATAGCAGCATCTGACTGTGCACAGCATACCAACACTTGTGTTATTTGTAAACCTTGTATTTTAACCAACTTGCCATAAAGGAAGATCATAGGTCATAGACGGTCTGAAAAACATGACGGTGTGATGACATCATCATAGGTCATGTGAAGTTATTTTAAAGGTTATCATTTTGGTTTTTGGTACATGTAACACCATGTGGTAATAACTACAGCTAAGAAGATATTTAGTTCTGAAAAGAACTTGTCCTGCTTATTATCAACTTTCGCTGAGTAGTTTTAGTTCTAATAAGAATAGTCCTGCTTTAAGTTCTAAAAGAACTTGTCTTTGGTCTCAACGTTTCGATAGGAGACTGACGATGACTAGAGCAGGCTAGTCAAAACGTTGAGACTTAGGGCACTGTGCAGTTGATAAGGGCCAATTACGAGCATGTGTGTTTGCACTTTGCAATTTCTCCTTGCTTAATTTACGACTTTGCTACTTTTCAAACTGCATCATTTTTTCATCAACCGTTTTGATGACTAAGAAAACATATTAACGTTGGTCCTAGACACATGACGTCATGATGACATCATCATGTGTCACATGACAACATATCACTCTAACCCCTTATAGTCCAGCGGATATGTGAAAAAATTGTGCACTTTTGCATAAAAGCGTGAAACTTGGCACAGATGTTTATATTTATGCGAGAAAATGTTTTAGATGTGGAGCCATCGCAAATTTACCCTTTTAGGGGCGTGGCATCCATTTAAAAAAAGGGGGCGGGACTTGTCGTGCCCGCAGTAAAAATGGTTTTTCCCACTTGTTACAAAAGCAGGAAACTTCACAAAGACATAATTATATAGATTATTAGTGTTTTCCAGATTCGGAGCCACCACAAAAGTACCTTTTAGGGGCGTGGCAGCCATTAAAAGAAAAGGGGGGGTTTAATTATTATGCCCCCTTTGGAAAACATTGTGCCCATATTTCATGAACGAATAAAACGTCCCACAGACGTTTATATTCATGAGAAAAAAAATTCCAGATGTGGAGCCATCTCGAACACACCTTTTTAGGGGCGTGGCAACCATATCAGAAAAAGGGGGGGCGGAGTTTTCATTATGCCCACCCTGGAAATATTGTTCCCACATTCATAGAGAAATGGAACTTTTCACAGACATTGACATTCATGATAAAAACAATTCCAGATGTAGAGCCATCGCGAACACACCCTTTTAGGGGCGTGGCAGCCATATTGAAAAAAGGAGGGCGGGGTTCTCATTATGCCAAACATGGGAAAAAAATTTGCCCACATCTCATTAACGAATGAAGCTAATTTCCACAGACATTAATACTCACGAGAAAAAAAATCACACGTGGAGCCATCGTAAACACACCCTTTTTAGGGGCGTGGCAGCCATAATAATATGGGGGGGGGGGGGTAGTCATGATGCCCCTATAAAAGAAAGTTGTGCCTACCTTTCATAAATGGATTAGATTCCACTCGGACAATATATTCATAAAAATCTTATTTTTTTAATGTGAGGCCATCACAAACCTACCCTTTTAGAGGTGCGGCATCCATTTTTAAAAAGGGGGGGGGGTACTCAATATGCACAACCTGGAAAATTTTGACCGCGTTTCATATAATAAAATCCACCTCAGATAGCTGTTTAATGTGTTGGAGTAGGTCCGCCATTATAGTTGGAAGTTACTGTTGGCAAACCCTTTGTTTTCTTACACTATGCATTCTTGCCTCATCTATGTTAACCCAGTTACTGGTTCTTTCGTCTGTAGAATTATTGTTAACCTTTCAACTGCAGCAATATCTGAATTAGGGGTATAAACTGGGGTACCTCAGTGAGTCCTGGAAAGACTAGTGTTACTTCTTCAAATACATTGTTTCCCCTGCCTTTTTTTTCCTGACAGACCAAAAGGCATATGCAGTGTCGCACCTGTATAACGTATAATTTTTTTTAATGGATTTGGTCGGGGTAAAAAAAAACACTCATAAGAGCTTGATGTACCATTTTTAAGAGAACAGAGGTGTTGTGTGGTGGGGGTACACAGATTCATTGAATGTGAAGTCATAGTGGACGTGACCACCACTTTGTGAGGCGAGTACATCGTATTGTTACCCAATCTGCTGTCAATGTGGCGCAACGGGTAAGGGGTAGGGGGATTTTACACTCCCCCCCCCCCCCCCCCCCCCCCCCCCGTAAAAAAAGGATTTCCATGGCCCTTTAATGTTAAATGTTAGAGTTTAGGGCTGCCATTGTGTGCTGTGTATTTGTAATAATGAAATCACTCTGGAATTTAGATGTGCTTGATAATATAGGTGCAAGTACACACATTGAACAATATAACACAGGTTAGCCTACCGGTACTTACCCATGCTCTTTGGGGTAAGTCATTGTATTACCAAATAATATAGGTTATGGGCCAATCAACATTATAAGAAATCAACAACAAAATATAAAAATTGCAATTGTGGGCACAGTGAGTAGGCCCCTCACACCTCTAAAAGGATGAGTTTGCTGTGGATCTACATAAGAACTTTCTTTTATAGGGGCATCATGACTACCCCCCCCCCCCCCCATTTTACTATGGCTGCCACGCCACTAAAAGGGTGTGTTTACGATGGTTTCACGTGTGACTTTTTTTTTCTCTTGAATATTAATATCTGTGGGAATTAGCTTTATTCGTTTATGAGATGTGGGCACATTTTTTTCCATGTTGGGCATAATGAGAACCCCGCCCCCTTTTTTTTCAATATGGCTGCCACGCCCCTAAAAGGGTGTGGTCGCGATGGCTCTACATCTGGAACTGTTTTACTCATGAATGTCAATGTCTGTGGAAAGTTCCATTTCTCTATGAATGTGGCAACAATATTTCCAGGGTGGGCATAATGAAAACCCCGCCCCCCTTTATTTTCTTATATGGTTGCCACGCCCCTAAAAAGGTGTGTTCGAGATGGCTCCACATCTGGAATTTTTTTTCTCATAAATGTCAATGTTTGTGGAAAGTTCCATTTCTCTATGAGTGTGGGAACAATATTTCCAGGGTGGGCATAATGAAAACCCCGCCCCCCTTTTTTTTCCTATATGGTTCCCACGCCCCTAAAAGGGTGTGTGTTCGAGATGGCTCCACATCTGGAATTTTTTTTCTCATGAATATAAACGTCTGTTGGACGTTTTATTCGTTCATGAAATATGGGCACAATGTTTTCCAAAGTGGGCATAATAATTAAAACCCCCCTTTTCTTTTAATGGCTGCCACGCCCCTAAAAAGGTACTTTTGTGGTGGCTCCGAATCTGGAAAACACTAATAATCTATATAATTATGTCTTTGTGAAGTTTCCCGCTTTTGTAACAAGTGGGAAAAACCATTTTTACTGCGGGCACGACAAGTCCCGCCCCCTTTTTTTAAATGGATGCCACGCCCCTAAAAGGGTAAATTTGCGAAGGCTCCACATCTAAAACATTTTCTCGCATGAATATAAACATCTGTGCCAAGTTTCACGCTTTTATGCAAAAGTGCACAATTCATCGATATTTTGTCACATATCCGCTGGACTATTAGTAGTTCCTCAACACTACCCTGCTAAATCCAACAGAGTCCAACCGGAGATTCCTGCTCAATCCACTGTGCCTTATTTTCAGTTGTCTGCTGAATCCAACGGAGTCAAACTTGTCATCACTAAACAGGTATATAATATTTTTGGATCCTGTTGGATTCAGCAGGGATAGGGTTAAATGTTTTTGGTATGAGACACTTCTGACCTTAAAAAAGGCCTATTCCAATGAAACTTAGCTCAGGTGAAGACCCTATAGTGAAGTTGTGTCTCGAAGAGCGACGTCATGATTACACCATCATGGGTCACGTGACGTCATAACAAACATGCATATTTTGAAGATTTTCATCAATAAAGAAGTTCACTTCTTACTTGAGAAAGTCTAGGGAAAAGTCCGAAAGACAAGGCACCGTTCATGGTGCTTCAATCATGTCCATTCAACCACACAACTCCACTACTCCACTTGCATTCATACATGGGGAAAAATCAGGTATTATCATCTTTCTCTTCTAACAAATGCCAGTGAAATGTTTCGCTAATGCTCTCTTCGCTATCCTCGAGATAATCATCACGATTTTTAAGGCATTGTATTTTGTTTAACTGAATTTGAAACCTCCGAAAATCGCACAACATAATGATTTTATCCACTGGATCGTTCACAAGGCTACCCATTCCCGACCAGCCATGTGCTAGCAGACGGTACGGTGCGGTACGTACGCTGGTATCATTGCGTACAGTACATGCACGCACGTGCGACACATTGATTTTTCCATGTGGCCTATCAATGTTTAACCTTTTGTCCAGCCGGAGAAGGCTCCGATCAGTGTTAGGCCCTGTGTTTCTAATCGTGCGATTTTATATGAATTTTTGAAATTTTGGACCTTTAGGCCATATCTCACGAACGCAACATGCAACATTCAAGATTTCTTTTGTATTTGGTTCGTTAGGTGATACTTGATAGGTACATGCACAAAATTTTGAAAAATGTGAGATGTCACAATGACGTCATCAAAAATGCTATTTATCCAAACACATTATAAGAGAAGGTCCAATTGTCATGAAACTTGGTGGATAGGGAGATAATGTCACAAGTATGCAAAATCTGAAATGATGTCACCATGACGTCATCTGTTTATGTTTTAATGATTTTTTAATAATTAAAAATTTATTACACTTACAAAATTTT